GTGGGAATATAGTGCTACTGGACAAGCATCTGGTGAATTCGCCGATGAAATTAACCGAGTAGTTCAATCTGGCCACACGATGCCGCCCTTGTATGCTCCGGATTCACCTTGTTCATGTTATCCCCTTGGGGCTGGATTTGGAGATTTTTCTGCCAATGGCAAGATGAAATTTCTCTGTAGTTTTGGAGGTAGAATATTACCGAGACCTAATGATGGGAAGCTTAGATATGTCGGTGGTGAAACACACATTATATCCATTAGAAAAAACATCTCATATGAAGAACTTTCCAAAAAGACATACGCTGTCTGTAAATATCCCCACACTATAAAGTACCAGCTTCCTGGTGAAGACCTTGATTCACTTATCTCTATCTGTTCTGATGAGGATCTTCATCATTTGATCGAGGAATATCATGAGCTGGAAAATGCAGAGGGTTCTCAAAGACTTAGAATTTTTCTTGATTATTGCGAGAGCCCTACTTCTATTGAAGAAAGGGCAGTTCAACCAATTGATGTTAATTATCAATATGTTGAGGCTGTGGATGGTATGCTAGACCCAACTCTTCATAGTCCTAATTTTCGTACTGCTTCTTCACATACTACAGACTTAAAAGATGTCCATTCACCTATGCCAAATTTGGCGGAAATGCTTCCTAGACCTAGTGGGCAATTGTTAAATCCCATTCAAATCCCACGCAAGGCATTTATTCAATCACCTTTAAATTCTCCGGTTACAGTACTGAAAAAAGACTTTAAGAACGTAGATTCAACATGTGCAGAAGATGCTATAAACTTCATTCCATTTGTTTCGGAGAAATGTCCTCGTGATACGGTTTATTATGTTGATGCAATTGGCAGTCACAATCATCTTTACCATGGTTCTCAATTGATGGATTATCATCATGAAAAATTTAGAGTGGAAACTGATGAGACATACGAAGTTCTTAATGTTCATTTCCCACGAGGCTCCAGCGTAGATTTTGAGCCTGCACCCAACTGGGGTCTAAGTGATACACATTCTGTGAAAACTATGCTTAAGGAACGGGCAGTTAACTATGAACAGCTATGCTCTGATGCGGAGTATTCAATGCAGCTAACATCTGGAACCACCCATATGGGACAAAGAATTATGCATTCACATTCTGAACCCCTACTGCTGGAACAGGATCAAAAGTCGAATCATGGAGGATTCTATCCACTGACCTCATTCATTGACAGTGATCAGTCACCTTCACTGGCAATGTCAATTTCCTTGCAGGATTTGTCAACGATGTGGAAACAGAGAGTTGACGGGGTATTTCAAGATGCTAAATATGAGAATCATCGAAAGGTGGCATCTGGTAGTGAAAATGAAACATATGAAGAATGCAATTTTGATGAAAAAAAGGCTAATTTCAATGGAGGTATTTATGTTCCATCACTTGATGATGACCAAAAATACAAATATTTTCAACATGTTGACTACCAACAAAATGGTTGTCTCCTCAAAGAGGTTCAAAGCTTTGGAGGCAGATTTTCTGCCGAACGAGGTCTTGAATTAGAAAATTCTGCAGACACCACGGGTGGCCCCACCCTCATTTACCATTTAGAAACAACTGCTCCAAAATATTTCGAGGAGAGCCAATATTCTACTAAGGATAAACAAACTACTACTAATATAGTAAGCATCTACGGCCTGCAGGTTCAAAGCTTCTTTATGTGCAACATATGTACCTTTCCATACGGATTTAATTCTCATATATAACATATCTTGAACTCTTTCATCCGCTTAAGGTTCCTCCAACTTTTTAAACACATCCGTCCACTTAAGGTACCTCTAACTTTGTAAAATATGCATCACTGAATGAAGTTGTTGTAATTCTAGTATTGAGCATTTTCCACATACGCGCGCACACACATCGTTTGTAAGAAAACATGCTAGGGTGTTGATAAGAATTTTGTAATTATAGCATAATTGAGTGGAAAGTTCACTCCATCACAAAAGTTGACGTTCGTATTATGTTTTGTTGATCAATTCATACACTGATATGCAGATCATAAAGGCTGCAGATCTTAAAGAACTGCAAGAGTTGGGATCTGGGACGTTTGGCACAGTTTTTCATGGAAAATGGAGGGGAACAGATGTAGCTATTAAGAGAATAAACAAGAGTTGCTTCTCAGGCAGTTTTTCAGAGCAAGAACGACTGGTAGGTACGACATAATTTGAAAATAGATCTTTTGGAATGTATAACCGATTCCTGTGCTCATGTTGGTGAACATGGTTATGAAAATTTTCTTAGAAAGTTATAAAATTGTGCATGCAATTTCGAAGTAAAAGTTGTACCTTCTATTTTTTCAAATGCATTTCATCATTGATTAGTCCTACGAACATGTTGTTGAAGAATTTAGCACAAAAGGGGAAGAGACAAACACTTGGGAAAAAAAAACTTTTATTGAGATAGTACAAAATGGACGAGAGAAGACTTCTTACTCACCCACTTTAATCGCTCTTTCTTACTTTTCTTTCTTATGGAACATGCTTCCTACTCGTAAGTATGAGGTCCTTGGAGCCCAAGTAAAAAAAGTTTATAGGAATTCTCAAGAAATGCTTGGAGCCTAAAGAAATGCGAGTATGTTTCTAGAGCATTTCTTTTGAGATACTTATTTACAATCTTCAAGATAACTTCAGAGAGGACCAATATATATTTACGTAGATTCTCCAAGAAGCTCTCTATATAGTTATTGTTTGTCTTTTATTTTAATTCCTACAATCTAATTCCACCCTCCCCCCGGCCCTTTCACAATGGGACCAAAATCTCACTGTTTGCTTAGACTAGAGATTTCTGGAGAGAAGCAAAGATTCTCTCGACTCTTCACCATCCAAACGTTTTGGCTTTTTATGGGGTGGTTCCTGATGGACCTGATGGAACATTGGCAACTGTAACCGAGTATATGGTAAACGGTTCGTTAAGGCATGTCCTTTTAAGGAAGGACAGGTAAGCTGGTCTATCTCCACATTTTGATTCTCTTCTTTCCTGTGAAAAGGGATATTGAAACTTTGGCATTCTCACTGCAGAGTGCTTGATCGTCGGAAAAGGCTTATAATTGCAATGGATGCAGCTTCTGGCATGGAATATTTGCATTTGAAAAACATTATCCATTTTGATCTGAAGTGTGATAATTTGTTAGTCAACTTGAGGGATCCTGAACGACCTGTATGCAAGGTAAGTTTTAACATAGCTGACATTTTGTGCACCTTCAATGTTTTCTGAGGTTTCTGTGTTTAGTTATCTACTTTTATCAAATTGAATCTTGCAGTTACCTATGACTAGTTGAAATTCATATTTAATATTCATGTCACACTGAGCTCGTTTCGGGGTCATTTCCTGTCTTTTAAGGTGGGATATTTTGGTCTGTCAAGAATTAAGCGCAACACACTTGCTTCGGGAGGCATGAGTGGAACTCTTTCATGGATGGCACCAGAATTGTTAGATAGTAGCAGTTCTAAGGTCTCTGAGAAGGTAACTTAAAAACGAAGATCTTTACTTTCTTTCATCTGAATCAAGCCGTGTAAATGTTGCGTAGATATTGTGCTTGAGATGCAAACGTAGTTCTGTATCAGTTATATCATATTGGAGGATACTATCAATACTATTTTTGCTTTATTATCATTTTTCTTTTTAACAGGTTGATGTTTTCTCATTCGGTATTACAATGTGGGAGATTTTGACAGGCGAGGAGCCATATGCTAGCATGCATTGCGGTGCCATCATCAGTAACTTTCCTTCCTATGCTCCTAACTTCTTAAAACCTTCTCAAGAGAGGTCTTGTGCTGTATTGTTCAAATTAGTATCATGCTGTTTTATACTTTGATGGGCAGGTGGAATTGCAAGTAATACTCTTAGACCGCCGATCCCGAAACGCTGTGATCCCGAATGGAAAAGGCTAATGGAAGAGTGTTGGTCTCCTGAACCTGCAGCAAGGCCATCATTCACAGAGATAATGCATAGACTTCGTAGCATGTAGGTAGCGGTTCGGATCAGAAAGAGACCGAATGTAACAAGTAGATGAAACTCAACATCCTCATGTAAGTCACTGTTCTTGTGAATTGGAAAAGAGGAAAAGAAAATAACTTAAAGCTTAAGCTATTCTGTGTAGTTAATTAGCTGGCTTGCTCGCTCACTCAGCTGAAGCAACCCATAGATCTGACGTTTATGGAGTTGATATACTTAGAAAAATCTGTAGATATGTAATGCCAAATTTTCATATTGCATATTGCAGCCGTTCATGTTCATGTTCTTGAGTTGTTCATATTTATTCGATATTGCACCAGAGATTTTTTCTTGATATCTATAATTTGACTGATAATTTATCCTTAGGGACAAGCGGTAAAAGTTAAAAGCTCACCACTAGCAGATGTTGTTCGCTTTAGTCCATTACAATAGTTGTCGGCTTCACGGTTTTAAAATGTCTACTAGGGAGAGGTTTCCACACCCTTATAAGAAATGTTTCGTTCCTCTCTCCAATCGATGTGAGATCTCATAATCCACCCTCCTTAGGTGCCTAGCGTTCTCGCTGACACACCGCCCCTTGCCTGGCTCTAATATCATTTATAACAACTCATACCCACCGCTAGTAGCTATTGTCTACTCTAGCTCATTACGTATTACCGTAAGCCTCACGGTTTTAAAACACGTCTACTATAGAGAGGTTTTCACACTCTTATAAGGAATATTTGGTTCCCTCGATATTGAATCTTATATAAACTTTAATAAACACACAAAAATGAGATAAAAAGATGTCACAGCAAAATATTAGCTCACTTTTGCATGATAGTTAAAAGACATGTTATCAGCTAGAATTTTTAATTAAAAACATTGAATAGAAAAATGATGGCCCACCAAATAATGTCTACATTTGTCCACATGCGGATAGATAATGTAAACATATCTATCATACGGATAGATAAATGAAAATGGCGTCGTTGTTCTAGAATTCCCATGCGCTTCCTAATTTCGGCATTATCCATTATCCTGAGACGGCACGCATTCCCAAGCAACCGCCTATTTTGATTGCTATATTTACCTGAAAATGGCCACCGATCACCATTTCATTTACTTTTCCGGCCAATCTCAAGCTCAATCTCATTTCTCCGGCGGCTTCAGTAATGGAGAAGGCAATCAACAGGCAGAGCATTCTGCTACATCATCTCCGGCCTTCATCTTCGGCTTATAGCCATGAATCTTCGCTCTCTGTAAGTTCTTTATCCCCACTTTCGAATTGCAGTTTTTGTTATTCAAACTTTTTTCTGCAAGTCGCTCTTTGAATTGTTTGATTGAGTTTGGTTTGGTTTGGTTGTTTTTTCTTGCTAGGCATCGGTTTGTGCAGCTGGGGATAGTGCGTCGTATCAAAGAACGTCGGTGTTTGGAGATGATGTCGTGATAGTTGCGTAAGTTGCTTCGTCTTACATGAAGTGAATCTCGCTCTCTTTTTGTTACAGTTGATTCAAAGTGGTTCGTCAAATTGAATTTGTGAAATCTCCATTTTCTTTCTCTCAGAGCATACCGCACCGCCCTTTGCAAATCGAAGCGTGGCGGCTTCAAGGATACTTATCCTGATGATCTGCTCGCCCCTGTTTTGAAGGTTTCTTGTTTCACTTTTTCTTCTGTTCTCTTTATGGATTCAACTTAATAGGTTAAACTCAGTAAGAGGATACCATGCTTTCGTTTTTTCTTCGTTTTTGTTGCTTAATGATTTAGTGCGCATCTCTGAATTCTGATTTGATCCAGGCATTGATTGAGAAAACTAATTTGAATCCAAGTGAAGTTGGGGACATTGTTGTTGGTTCTGTGCTTGCACCAGGTTCTCAGAGAGCGAGTGAATGTAGGATGGCTACTTTCTATGCCGGCTTCCCTGGTATGCAATTCTCCAAGAATTGTTCATATTCATTGGTGTCTTCTATTATCAATGCATGTAATGCTTTTGTTGCAGAAACTGTGCCTGTTAGAACTGTTAATAGGCAATGTTCGTCGGGGCTGCAGGCCGTTGCTGATGTAGCAGCAGCTATAAGAGCAGGATTTTATGATATTGGTAAGCAACAAAGGGATAAGTTGAGTGAAGTTTTATAACTTCCTTGTTTAGTACGCAAACTTATTCTATTCTTATTGCTCGTGTTTAAGGAATTGGAGCTGGGTTGGAGTCGATGACTGTTAATCCAATGGCTTGGGATGGATCTGTCAACCCTAGAGTACTATCTTTCCCTTGCTCTAATGCACATATTTGAGTTCAGTTCTAGATAGTCTTTAAAACATACTTCAAGTAGGAATCTTAAAAAAATTTAAATCTCTTCTTAAAAATGACAGGTGAAGTCAATGGAAAATGCACAAAACTGCCTTCTTCCGATGGGAGTAACCTCAGAAAATGTTGCCCAGCGTTTTGGGGTGTCAAGGGAGGAGCAAGATAAGGCTGCTGTAAGTAGAATGGATCTTGCATCTCTTTCAAGGCTCTTAGATGTATATTTTGTACTGAAATCCTTAGTGTGTGTCTAGGTTGAGTCTCACAGGAAGGCTGCAGCTGCCACTGCTAGTGGCAAATTTAAGGATGAAATTATCCCTGTTTCTACCAAGGTAAGTAGTAAGATTCGATACAATGAAGTTTTCACATATTTTATGAACAGGTAAGGCAATTGGTTCTCGAGCTTTGATGTCTTTATTTCAAACAGATTATTGACCCAAAAACTGGTGAAGAGAGACCCGTTACGATCTCTGTTGATGACGGGATTCGACCGAACACAACTCAAGCAGATTTGGGGAAGCTAAAGCCTGTGTTTAAGAAAGATGGAACCACCACTGCTGGTATAATTATATCTGATTAGATTTGAATTGATTAGTAGAGAGATGTTCTGCTATTTTTGCTCATGATCCTCTGGTGTTGGTATTGTGTAGGCAATTCTAGTCAGGTGAGTGATGGTGCTGGAGCTGTTCTCCTTATGAAGAGAAGTGTTGCAATGCAAAAAGGACTCCCTATTCTCGGCGTCTTCAGGTTTGAATCTCGAGATTTCTCTTTAATACTTGACATCACAAAGAATTGTACAAGTTGAATGGTGAATTGCGCTAGATATTCAAAACTTGTTCATCCTCATATCCTGACTTGCAAACTTCTCCCCAAACTGTCATGATTATTTTTACAATCTTATGCCTCGGGTGATGACAGCATGCTTTTCGTTAGCCATAGTTACTCCCAGAATACACCATGTCACGAAACAATGAAGGAGATTAAGCGTTAGTTTCGAACATAAAAGCTCGTTCTTTTGGTTATCAACTTGGGGCTTCCCAAAGTAAAGATTTTAGAACTGTCTTGAGTTGAAGTACTTTCTTGTCTCAACATTTGTCGCTGTTTGTTTTGTAGGACTTTTACTGCTGTGGGTGTGGATCCTGCTATCATGGGTGTTGGCCCGGCTGTTGCAATTCCAGCGGCTGTCAAGGCTGCTGGGCTTGAACTGAATGATATCGATCTTTTTGAGATAAATGAGGTACCATATTTTTCTACCAGAAATTAAGGCTTGAAGTTTGAACCTTTTAGGCACATGTTGGCTTGGACTAACGCACACCGTAACCTACAGGCATTTGCATCCCAATTTGTGTATTGTCGTAACAAGCTGGGGCTTGATCCAGAAAAGATCAATGTTAATGGCGGAGCAATTGCCATTGGACATCCACTGGGTACAACAGGTATGTTTCTGACACGAATCTCTATTAGCCAACACCTAAAAATTTAAGATCCTGATGAGTTAGATACGTTTCTTCCTTGTGTTCTTTAACGACGATTAAATCATTAGAAAATGATAATGGTTACATGGCAGGAAGAATTAGTATTAGATTGTCACAAATCTCACCTTAAAATCTTTCTAATCTTCTGCCATAGGCGCTCGCTGCGTTGCTACATTGTTGCATGAGATGAAACGCCGTGGCAAGGACTGTCGTTTTGGAGTGATATCAATGTGCATAGGTACTCTCTCTCCCTCTACCTCCTTCTCTTTACCATTGTGGACTATTGTGGAGTTACAGTCCGATGACGAAGACGCCATGGATGATTAATACTTGAAACTGCAAAATGGCAGGCACTGGAATGGGGGCTGCAGCTGTGTTTGAGAGGGGTGATTGTGTTGATGAGCTTTGCAATGCTAAGAAAGTTGAAGGAATCAATCTTCTGTCCAAGGATGCTCGGTAGAACAAGTTTCAATACTCAATAGTGTGAGACAAGGAAATCAATAAGGATACAGTTTTATGGAGATTTGATTATCTGTTTGCTTCCCACCATCTTGTTCCATTTTGGACGCATCATTTTAATTCTGTTGTCTTTTGATTTGTTTCCATAAAGGCTTCGAAGTTAGTCCTTTGTTATTGAGTGTCGTCCGAACTACCTGATGATCCTTAAACAAGTAGTCATTTGGTTTGAATTCAACAGATGAATGGATATTTGGATGTTTATCATCGGTAACTAGAAGATATCCTGTTTCATTAGTTTCATTCAATTTTTGTTGGATTCAAAATGTTGTGAGACAGTCATGTTCGCTAGAATTTTATCTTTCAAATCATTTTAGCGATGGGTATTCCATGTAATCATAAGTTTAAGTTTAAGAGATGAGGTTGAGTTTGTATAGCCCTCCTTCAGAGTAAATGTTAGAATGATGGCTTTCTTCAAAGGTGTTTTTTTTGGGGTTTTGTTGATAATCTAATTAAAAGGTTAAAGGCTCCTTATCCCTTATACAAAATATCTGTCATTTTTATTTTATTTTTTTGAGTCATGTTACTAGTGCTAGTAATAGCTTGAAGTTTTGTTTTCTGAGTTAGTTTTGGATGGTACATTGTATCTAACCTCCTCCTCTTCTTTAACTTTTAGCAGACTCGTTCAAATTAGTCGATTTTGAATTCTCTCATCTACTCACATACTCGAACGACAAGTCTTTTGAAGCTCAAATCACAGCTCTTATGAGAAGCTGGTTTGTCATAACACTTTCGTATGCAAGTAAATTATAATTATTTCAGTTTGTTCAGGATCTAGATTGAATGCTTTAGATGTATCTTTGATGTTGAAATAGATTATGTTTGTTGATATGTTCCTCAAGTGGTGATAGTCGTAAATGCTCTTGTTTGATGATAGTCGTAAACGCTCTCAATCTAGTTTGATACGTAGCTACCAAGTGGCCTTATCCTCCAACGTAATGGTACAATAGGTATTGTAGATGACTTCTTTATGTCAAATAAGTGCTTGAAAACTGGTTTGTCTTAAGGGTCGTTTGATTCCCCAAGTTTAAAAGTAGTTTGATGTCGTATCTTCTAAGTTAAGCAATTTGAATTTCAAAAAATTTGGACTCATAAAAGGAAAAGAAATTAATTTATTATCTAATGGTATTGTAAATTTTCCATTCGAATTCCTATTCCACGTCATTGAACTTCAAACAGAGAAGAAATTACATTAGAATCTCAAGCTGATGTGGCAAGTTTCAGCTTGACAACAAGTTGACATGGCATAATAACTTGGTAAAAAAGAAAGCTGACATGGCATTCAAAAAGGACAAGAAACTCACCCCTTCCCGTCGCCGGTTCCTCTCCCTCCCTTCCCTCACCGTCAACTCCGCCGCACAGCGCAGATCCAACGTTCAAAAACCTAGTAGATGAGAAGCTTTGAACCGCGGTGGAGCTTTGGGGGCGGCAGCCATGGCAGCTTGGAACTCGAGCCGCTTCGATTCGTAAGCCCTAGAAGCCTCTTCAGCAGTATTATAAGTTCCGAGCCAAATTCGAGCTCTTTTGAAAGGGTCTCTAATTTCAGCAGCCCATTTCCCCCACTTTCTCTGCCTCACGCCTCTGTATCGGCAAGCCGTTCTCTCGGTCGGTAGGGTTTTCGACAAAACCCTAATATTCCGTCGCTGATGAGCCTTTCCGCCATTACTGCCTCCTCGGGCAGAGCTCTGAGAGGCTTCATCATCAATTGATTTTGAGGAACGAGAAGGAAAGACAGGAAAGTGGATTTCTCGCACTATGCGTTTCGATTTCAAAGATTTTGCTTCGTCTCTTTCGTTTTCGCTGGAAGATGAATCGGTTCCATCCGGATCGTTGCAAATTACGCGTAGTTTTCGGCTCATTCTTCTGTTCTTCGAAGGAATTTGAACTCAATTTGGAATCCTTACTTTTTTGAATCGTCGGAGTAAAATACTGGAAGGTCTGACAATTGTGAGGGAAAAAATTGTAGAATATTTCCTTTTATATGTCCGCTTAAGCGTTTTTCTTTTCCGCTTCCTTTTTCGTTTTCATAAACATTTTCAAACTTATCTCTTAAAATTCATAAATTAAACTGACTTTTGAAAAATGTATTTTCAGTTTCAATGTGTTTAAAACTCACACTTTTTTAATACTTTAAACAATTATTTTTGTATTTTACTCTGTTTAAATTTTTAAAAGTACTATTTTCTTTTAATACAAAAACAGTTATTGCGTTGTAATTCAATAATTTTTACTAAACCCACTTTAAATTATTATTTTTTTCAAAAGTGTAATATAAACTGTGTTTAAAAAATGTTCTCTTTCAAAGTTACTCAAATACGTTATAACTTTTTTTTTTTTTTTAAGAGTGTATATGGTATTGTTTTAATTATATACCATAAAATGTCTTGGAATTAAATGAATTTGACATAAATGATGGTTGCTTAATGAAAATTTAAAATTTGGGTAAAACTTTGTGGGAAAACTAATCAGAAAAAATCTAAATTCCCAACTATGAACAGATAAAATTGAGAATTATTTATACGAGTACCGTAGCTAACTATTTGTTTTCAAATACGAGCATAATTCAGCTGACATAAAATACGTATCAATGTTTAAATCTCCCTTCCACCTATTGATTTCTTGGGCTTCCACCTAAATAATGTTTCTTTAACAGAGGGAAAAGAAAACAAGCATAAATTTCAAAAACAAAACCGATATAAAGCATGGTAGTACATTCATTCCGAATAAAGTTTACTAGAGAGATGTGGTAAAAGTTGCAGTTTTACATGAATGGTTAATTGCACTATGCAAATTACCTAAATAGTCTTCCTGTTAAATTTTGTGCAGCCCAAGCAACTAAACTATATGGCCACCAATATATTTCACAGGTTTGGCATAATAATTAGCTTTTTCCTGCTCAATGGCAATGCCTTAACTTATAAAGTATAAGAACCTGTCAATACATACTTTTGATCTTCACCATGCCCACTTCCTCATTCAGGCTGGGAAGCTTTCTTCGTTCCCCAATGGAGAATTGCACCTTTGAAGTCTTACGCTTCCGACCGAGAGTTCAAGCACAAAATATTCTAACAGGCTATACGACGAGACGAAGGGAAAATTAGAGAAAATACACGACGAGAGCATCATTTTATGACGACCATCGTCGTCCAGGAAAAAGTCCTTAGGACTTTTTCTAACATTGCTTAACAATGTGCAGCATAAAGAAAACCCAACTTAGGCCTCGTCTCCACAGTATGGAAACATCTGTTACATTCTCATCCAAAATGTAGAAAATAAAATGAAAATAATAGATCTGATTTACCTTGGTTCCACAGAAGAGTATGATTGTGTGTGCTGATTTGTAATAGGCCTGAAATCACCGTTAATATCAGGTGATTGACGACTTACAAACCGGGCATGACGTTCGCCTCTGTAGCCATGGATCAATACACTGAGACAGCAAACAGAAAGAGGAAGTTAGTGATTATGGCTTGAAAAGGAGAACGGTTCTTCTTTATTAAAGCATGCATACATCTTTATGAAATTTGTGTAAGCAAGGTAGATGGCGAATGACATCTCCTATGGCTGGCGTATCGAGACAAATTGCACAAGGGTCTTCCATGCTGTCAGTCTGAGAAGGACAGGAGACAAATGGTCAAGGGCGGCTAAACCAGCAGATCTGGTGGTCCGGAGAATGAGTTTTTGATCAACAAAAGAAAATACAACTGAAACCAGGATGCAGAACCACCACCTACCTGTACTGTAGATTGTGGCAAACTATTAATCCGGTTGGTCGATGCACCAGCATGGCGGTGATTGTTCTCGTCAAGGGATAGCAGCATCTCATAATCATTCCTGACAGAAAGAATGAAGAAAAAGAATGTCACATATCTAAAACAACTGAACACAAAGGGGTTTCTTATCCAACAAACAACCTAAGTTTGAACTTATTTCCACATCATTTGTAATCAAAATTAATGGGTCGCCTAAATTTATACAACTTCGCATAGTGCAGACATGACCTTCCACTTCCACCTTTGACTTAAAATCTTTTACCTCGGCCCATTATTGCAATAGCTAAAGTTTCATATTTGAGAATCAGTTCCACATGTATATAGTTTCACTACTCAGACCCAGGCCAATTGCTTTAAGTTTTCATTCTCTCATTTTATCATCTCATGAATAAGATTTCAGTCTCTATCCAAGCATACTCTTTATGTAACTGAAACGAGAATAAAATGTCAATCCTTTCTCCATGATGTATATATATATATATATAAATTAAGTGCTTAAACGATCATGTCTTTCAAATCACCAATCTAACACAAAAGCTTAAGTTGATGGGTTAGAATAAATTTTATATGAGTACTTCAACAATCCCTCTCACTTGTGACCTTGAACAAGTGGAAAATAAAGTTACTGAGGAAGAATTGATATTAGAAGGTTCGAACACAGAACCTCCTACTTAATACCATGATTTAACAGTGTCGCTATTATCTTGCAACAAGTTTGCAAAATTAACTGAAAACATTAGCTGAAGTTGTAAATTGTTTTCAAATAGGTTGAAATCTTACTCGTTGAAATCACGCCGGCTGTGCAAGATGTCCCTATTCATTCTTGCATCTTCCATTTCTCCAACCGCAGCCTCCAGAGCTTCCAATATATCAAGTCTCTGTATTAAAAGAAAGTTACCAGGCTTTAGATATGGTAAAGGATAAACTATCTCATTACAAACAATCATAGGCAAGATACAGGCATCATACCATCAAGAATCTATTTCATATTATCTTGTCCATATAACAGCAAAAAAGTAGCTGGTTAACCTAGCACCAAAGAATGAATCGAGTAATTACCATATCCAAATCCATATGCACCGGAAAATTAACATTCCTTTGTCTAGTTGACACTCTATGAGAGCCACCAAAAAATTGATTCCTCATCTGTGCCATTCGTGTAGAGTGGGTTACTCGAGTCCGTGTTATATTAGAAGAGTTTTGTGAAGATTGAGATCGAGTTCGTCTATTTGCCTGTGCTACCAGTGAGCCTCTCTGACTCTGAACAAAGGAACCAATCAACTTTTAGATAGAAGATGGATACGAATTCAAGAATATCTTTTACCAGGCACATTGTACATTTAAAAAAACAAAGATAATTAACTAAGGATCAAACTATTTTAGGAAAACATGTTAGCCATCTTTCCACCAACTCGATGAAAAAAATGCATGTAGGAGAATGCTCGACATAAATTAGCCAAAGCTATGCCAATGACATTCTAACCCTAGCTTTGTGGACATAGATTAACATTGTGGGGAAACATGGGTAATAAGTTTTCAACTTTAAGGGAAAAGAAGTAGAGAGGGAGAGAGAAAGAATTTCACTTGCATAGGTATTACACATCCAAAATTAATTTGCAAAAATAATCTCTGTGATATCAAATTGAAGAATTGAATAATTTAAGACGGCAATGTTTCCAAAGACCAAAGATGTTGCAATCACAGGAAGAAAAAAAAGACAGTCATAAGGATAAAATACACTGTAAGTCTGGCGGGAGGGTGCAAAATGTCCATGCTCCACCTGCTGCAGTGCCATAGCTAAATGTTCATCAATCTGCCAGCAGAAACATAAAACTTATGAAAATTAAGAATACCTTATTAGTAAGTTACTGATTAAGCATGGATAAGCACAGCTTAAATAAGAATTAACCACCTCTTCTCCTCCAATAGGGATCTCCTGATATAGTTGCTCCTGAAGTTCACGAGCCAACATCTCATCAGCTTCAAGTTGTCTTGCCCTAGCATCTGAGGTGTTATCATTTAAGCTGCCAACATTCTGGGAGACAGGGTTTCTCATTTCAGGTGACAACTCATCAACCTCAATAACTTCATTCAAACTATCACGAATTCTTCGACTCTGGAGTCTAGTTGACCTTGAATTTGAAGACTCCTCAGACGTACCAAGGTACACGACATCTGGAATGGGGCATGAAGTATTAATTTGTGAAGTTGATCCTTGTTTCCTTTGTTTTTTGTTTAGTTTGCTTTCAACATGTGTCGGTACGATAGTTTGTTCTATTTTGGGTACAATGCTGTAAGCCCTTTGAGATGTATCACCATTTCCTGCACAATCAGTTTCTGCTACATGTTCTTGCCCACTAGGGATTTGTCTCTCCATGACACTTTCAGTTTTTCCATTAGAAAACCTTCCAACGTTATTTATCTTCTTAAAAGAACTCCCTGATGGATTAGACAACGCAATCCCTTTCCTTGAATGGTTATGTGTTCTTCTCCAAACACCTACTTCTTCAAAACATTCAGATGTACCTAATCTGGACGTTCTGGCTGGATTAGCTCCAACAGCCTTTTCCGTGTCACTGAAAGCAAATAAGATATCAGAACAAATTTCTTTTGAAGGCTGCAACCATACAAGAAAAATTGAAGCTGAGCTTTAGTGTGTGTTGACATCAATAACTGAAGTTGTTAAATGATGTTACATTTTAACTGATATTCAGATAAGGTTCAATTTCCAACAAAATTCAGTTGTTGTAAATCCAATAAAACAGTTACCATGCAGTTTTGTATACCTGCAAGAGTGGTCATAAAGTAGTGTGTCAATCAAATATTCATGACAAGAATGTAGTCTCTTGCATGGAAACATGGAATAGACCGGCATGGTCTCCCGATGCCAAACTATTGCACTACAGTGTACATTGTAGCAAAGAGTCAAATCTATATGGTTCAAAATCCCTGGTTCAGTGGAACTAAGAACTTTCCACAGGCCAAATGAAAATGAAGAATACCCAAAGAAAACATGCAACTTTGAGAAAGTGAGTAGCTTAACAAGAATTCTACGGAAGACGCCAGGATACAGTAAAATACTAACATTGAACATAGCTTGATTCAAGATGTCTACAAAATTATTTTGTGATGCAACTGTCAGGTTGTTTAAAGGACATAGGAAGTTTTAAAAACAATCGGCAATATTTGTA